AAGGCTGGTTTCGGCGATGCCTTTGGCAGGAGGGACAGCTGGTGCGGAGGGGTGTCTCTCGCCCATCGCGCTTTGGGTGAAGGACTTCCTGCCCTGCCTGCCGGCCTACCCTCGCTTCCCCCTCAGCCCCCTCTGTAGCGATTCGTTCTTCAGCGTGGTACAGGTTAACGGAAGGTAACTCTGTCTCTTCAGCTGCTGACGTAGGGTTGAGGAAAAGAGGCGCGGTCGTAGATCTCAAGCGATATTAACCCAGGGCCAAGAGGTGAGGAGAATGAATGAATGGCTTGATTTTAAGTGAGGAGAGAAAGGACTCGTGCACAGAAGTAACGCTCATTTCCCTCCGTGGAGCAAAGGAAGCATTTGGAGTGGCTGTTTCTGTAAGGGCTTGGATAAGGAGAGAATAAAAAAGGGAAGACCACCCCACCAGACAGGAGCTTGGGAGGCTGAAGCGCTGCCCTTCTTGGAGGGCAGGGGATTGATTGCCAAAGAGCTGGATGAGCCAAGGAAGTTACAGAGATGACAGATTGGGAGAGAGGCTGTTCACATTTTGTAAAGACATGAATCAGACTGGTATATGGTAGAGAAGAACCAGGACTCATTAAAAGATATTTTGGAGTTTATTAGTTACATCGTAAAAATTACATCTGCTTTTTATTGTGATTTTCAGGATTGGAAACTGATCGATGATATTGTAAATGGAACAAGTACTTTGAACTACTATCCAAGAGTTATTTTTAATTTAGGGTAGAGTCTCAGTCTTAAAATAGTCTGTATCAATAGGATCTTTCTGCTCTGACTTCAAGGTTGTAGCTGCTACAATAAAATAAGGCTGACGTATTTTGTTTTCAGCATTATGTATTAATACTGAACTTTTGGTAGGTTGGTTGGTTTTTTACACTTTCATGTGTAGAACTGAACCTGTTTGCTTCCTAAAGTAGTAGTAGTGAAAAGGGGAATGAGGCTGGCTTTAAGTGACTGTCAACCTTAGCAGCAGAATTAGACCAAATACTTAAAATAAACAGTCGAGAATCTTTGGATTTTAAGTTTGGGCTTTACCAGCAGGTGTCGCTGCGTTTAGTAGCAATTACTTGCAGAAAGGGTTTTGAAGGATGGGAGGTGATTTAAAAAAAAACCAAACAAAACAAAACCCCAAAAATTAATTAAATCTTTATTCTCAGTCTGTGGCCTCTGAAGCAAAGTGTTGGACTTTGTGGTTCATTTTATGTTGTGGTGATTTAATTAAGGTCACAGCTATTGGCATAAACAGCTTACATAAGAAAGTCTGCTTTCAAACAGCCTTCATTTTTAATTAATTAATGTAGTAGAGTGAAAAACTTGAAAACATGAGTCAAAAAGCAAGAAGCCTAAAGGAGCTGTAGATGGGTATCACAAAGATATGCCATCTAAAAGACTGCAGATCATAAAATGGTCTCATAAATTTGAGTAACTCTGTGATTTTTGAGCACTCTGGGTTTCCAGACTGAACATGCTGAGGTAGAGGAATGTGACTTCTTCATTGGCTGTGTACTTTGTCTTGCTAACAAAAGTATTTAAAATCTTAAAAATACTTTATCATAGCTTCTACACATTTGCATGTAGAAAGTGCTAAAGTATTTTTTAAAAATAAGAGCACTCTGTGTATGCTGCAGCAAAAAAAAATAAAGGAATTTTGCTTGCTGGTGGTAGAAGAGTTTTAAATAATTCCACTTGGAGAAGTTGCAAGCTGCTGTGGAATTAAAGGCTAAAAAGCTGTTAATTACAGACAGCTAAGAGCTGCAGGAAGTATTTCTGATGCTTGAAAGTGGGCATTTTGAGTAGTTACAGTAAATGTATTCTACTTCTGAGCAGCCTAATTTATGAAAGCTCTGCCTCCCATTTGTGCAAGATAACAAACAGGAGAAATTACTAAGTGACCAGCCAATGCAGCTGTTGGTGAAAGCCTAGAGAGTAGAGGCCTGATTAGTTGCCCAAGCTGGATTGTTGCCATTTCAAAGGATTCAAAATGAAAACCAAAAACATTTTGAAAATAAATCATATGCTTTAAAAGAATGCAGGAAAAGAGATTTAAGTGGAAGTAAAAGATTTAGAATGCTTCAAAGAAGCAATGGACTGCATCGTAGAAATAATGTCGTTTGATAGGTGATGATATCATAGAGAACTAATCCATTATAGAAAAAACAAAGGAGAAATATCTCTTGACTCACTACGAACCTGTTCCTGCGCTTTGTAAATGAAGGGTATTTTGAATATTGTACATGCCAGTTTCTCTCTCGCTGTCGTAGCTCCGTTTGAGTGTGCGGTGTTGAAGCTTCACACGATGTTTCCGCTGTAGTGCATGTAAGTGTCTGCTGCTTGCTTAACTGTTAGAGATGCAAGTCTTAGGTAGGATGTATGAACTATGAAGGATTTACGTGTTTTTAAATAAAAACTGTAAACCAACAGTTTTTATCGAATGTTTGTAAAAATTTCCAACCAGAACCCTTTCTTTACCAATGGAAAGGGAATGCATATTCAGTGTTTGATCTTTCAAACATGAGTACTGTTTGAGCATTTAGAAATGCAGGTATGTTGGCTTCATCTCGTCAAAGCTCCTGCTTGGAGCAGGGCAGTTGCTAGCACTGGATTAACCCAGTCCCAGGTGTAGACCCTTGTACTTCATGTTCATGAGCTTTCTGTTTTCCAGTCCTGCAGTTTCTCAGTGCCCCTTTGAAGTGAAGCTCTACCATTCAGCATGTCAACCATCCCTCTGATTTAGTGTCATCCACAGGTTTGCTGATGGTGCATTGTCTCATCATCCAAGTTATTGATAGATGTATTGAACTGTATCAGCCCCAGGGTACTCTTACTGTTACTAGCCAGCAACTGAAGCAACTTGAAGCCATCAAGTCTTCAATTCTGCCTGCCCAGCCAGTTTTCAGCCACTCCAACAGTCCGTCTGGCCTCGGCTTCCTAGTGTGTGTGCTATGGGAGGTGGTGTCAAAGGCCGCAGGGCAGTCAAGGTGTGTTGTATCCGCTGCTGCCCCCTGAGCTGCTGCGTGACCAGACATTTCGTCACAGTAGGCGTTCCAGTTTCAGACATAACTTGCCCTTGGTAAATCTATGTTCAGGCTCCCTCATTACTTTCTTAGCTTTCACACAGCTGAAGGGACAAGCTCTGAGCATTTTCCCCAGGGACTTGAGGTGGCACTGACTGGGCGTGGGCACTGCTGCTTGCCTCTCGTAGCAATGACCATGCATTAGTCTCTTTCCAGTTGATTGGAGACTTTCTCTGATAACTGTTTTTCTTGGGTAGTAGTTGCCTCACAAGCGTGTCAGCTGTGTCTTTTAGCAACCTCGAGCAGAACACATCTGGCTCTGTGCATTTGAGGACATCCAGCTTATCTGAGCAGTTGCTGGCCCCACTCCTGCTTTTACCCCCCTTCTTCCCGAACACCACTGGTACAAGCAGAGGTCTAGGTGCAGCTTTGCCTGTGAAGACTGAGGCAAAAAAGGCATTGAGTACGTGAGCCTTTTCTGTATCAGCTGTGACAAGGTTGGCTTCCCTTTCAAGCGGTGGATGCACATTTTCACTTCTTCATACTTTTCTACTTCTAAAATTCCTTCTTGTTACCCTGTATGTCTCCTGCTAGTTTTAGCTCCAGCTGAGCTTTGGTCTTTCTGATTTAATGGAAATAAAGGGAGAAAACAAGCAATGTCAAACAGTGAGTATTTTATTTAACAAATATTTATATGAATCTTTCAGGAGCTGGTGATTCTGAAGACAGCCCGGTCGTCATGGCTCATGCTGCTATTTATGTGGGTTTTACTGTTCCTCAATTACTGAGAGGTGCTAGGAGAATTTTTCCCACTCATTCTGCATTGGTGGTGCTGAGGCACTCTGCTTTTTGTTACTGCACAGTGAACGGGTAGGTATCCACATATGAAAAGTGCCTTTTCTTTTTTTTTTTTAGGAGAATGTCATGGTAACACTGCCAAAATGAAGCTGACAAATTATTGCAGACCTATAAATACTTATTTAACTCCCAGTTACACATTTATATTTAAATCTTATTTAGACTTATGTCATCTGTAGTCTGGATTACACTGGTAAATTGTCATGTTAATAGAAATATCAGTAGGGGTGAGTAGCACAGCTGTCAGAATGACAATTACCTTTGCTTTTTGTTGCAGCACAACAAAATCAAAAAGGAAAATGGATCATCTAGAGAGGACAGCAAATAATTTTCGCCAGGATGTAAGTAAGGGTTTTTTTGGTATGAAGAAACCAATAATTGTAATTGATTCTTAGGCTTCATTTTGTCTTCTGCTGGAGTCTGTTGTCTGTTTTACTTCTTTTTCTCCTTGTTTTTTCATATTTGTAAAATAAGTGTATTTTGTGGTAAATGGGTGAAATGTAATGATTTATAAAAATTGTCAGTGACATGTGATACTGTTTGTTGGACAAGAAATTTAATAGAATTCTAGTCAAGTACGGATTATGATCAGTAATGAAAGCACACCGATAACCATCATCTCTACTCAGGCTTCTTAGATTTTTATGGATTTCTACAATTCTGGTTCAAATTTGAGATTAAAAAGATGTGGAAAATGTCCTTTTGTAACATAGAAGTTAGGATTAAAAAGTGTAGACGTTTTGAAGGGAGAGATGATAGACAGTTGTAAAAAGGATCTTAGTTTGTATCTATTTTAATTCACAAGTACAAGGAAGATAGAGCATTGTTCTCCATCAAAATCCAGAAATACTTGTTCTGGATCTCAGTTTGGTGCATCAAGCATTCTTTCTCATAATGTTCAGAGGTGAACATACTCTTGCATTTCATATAGAATTTCCTTTCTGTAATTAGCTAAAGTACATGTTTTGAAATTTTTAAATACTGGGAGAATATGACTTCAGTTCTCTAAAATGGTTCACTAGTGAAACATTCTGTATTTTTCTTAGACTTTTCAAGAGAAGTGGGGCACTTTTTGAACTGAAAACTCCCATCTTTAATTCCCAGGAGTTGGGAAACGGTCCCCAATTTTTCTCCATTGTTTAGTTAGCTTCTCTCAAGCCATTCATGACAGGCCAGTCTTGCAAGTGTCACACAGCAGGACAAGTTGTGTTCTCAACACACTACACAGATGTTAATGTGCATACACGTACCTAATGAAGTCCTTGTCTGCTAGGTTTTTTCTGTAACTATAGTTGAGAATAAGGTACAGGCCAAGGGAATTCTTCTGGAAAGGAAGCTGGGTGGAGGGGATATAGATGTAGCCCCCAACACTGAAGATTCAGCACTTGTGATGTAGGCTCCAGGTGAGACACACACAGCCTCGTTCTGCCTGTTCCCAGCGCTGTCAGGGTGTGAGCGGCGTGGGGAACCAAGTGCCTGGGAGCTGGGCCTCAGCTGCTCGCACCTCTGGTCAGCTCGTGCTTGAGCCCAGCCTGCACTGCTCGTGGACATGCCGCTGCTCACGTGGGGCCGATTTAGGCCAAATTAACTTGGTGCACGGAGAACAGGAGGGTAGAGACAGGTGCAGGCAGGTGCATGTTCTTGTTTGCTCCTGACGTGCAAACAATGACTGCGCTTCTGAGTTTTGCAACCATGGTTTTTTGATCTTGGATATTTCTTGGCTTGCTTAATCTTTCTACTCAACGTAAATGCTGGGTAGCTGGAAAATACGTGGAAAATGAATCCTTATGAGGTGTTGGAAGCTCTGAGGTAGTGCGGGGAACTGCATAAGGCCTGGGGAAGAGAAGGAAGCTCTGTGGGATAGGTGAAAGAGCAGGGCTCAGTTCTTGCTACTGCAAATTCTCTGCATATCAGAGGATTATGGTGTTTCTTTTTTACTGCTTGATTTATTCTTTGTTACTTTATTTCTGACCACTTTAAAATCAGTTTATTTTAAATCCCCTGCTTGGTTTTAAATTCCGTATAATCAGCAGTTGGCTTCCCGCAGTCTGTATTGCCTTATTTGGCCATTTCAGTGATGTGGAAAGATGAAAGAATCGTAGGTCTGTGTTGCATTAGCGTGCATGCTGCACAGGATTGGTAATGGGAAGGACCAGGGCAAGACACAGTGGCTAACACTTTCTTGAAATACAGTGGCAAAGTCTGGAGTCCCGTGTCCTCCTCCCTCGCGCTACAGCCTTGCTCTGGGCCGGTTGGATACTTTTGTGATGGTCCAAAACACGGGTTGAATGTGTTTCATCACCCTGACTCAAATTCAGTTTTTGTAATAACTTTATACCGATTAAGAATTAAATTTTCAGCGGTCTGTCAAATGTGTCAGCCAAAGAACAAATTAGGAAGTGTACCGAAGAGTAAAGAAGGAACAAAGAAGATCTAAACTTAGTGGCCATTTCCTGCGCTGACGGTTTCTCCATCAGGACAACCATTTAAGTCATGTGTCTAACATTTCGCCTGTTAACTTAGAGTGGTTGCATTCCCCATTTAATACCGTCTGCTAAAGTGGAAAAGAAATGTATGCTACTTTATTTTAAATTGGCAAATGTCCTGCTGTTTAATGGGACAGTGGACGTGTTCAGATGTTGCTCTATGAATAAATTAATTTCCTGCCATATGTTTTAAATTGGAGCATAGTTGCTTAAAGTTTAATTTTTTTTTAATCTGTTTGATCTTAATACAAATGAGAAATGGTAGAGTTTTGGTGGTATTGCTAGTATTTCCTAGTGTGGTAAATGACATCAGCATTTTTTAGCAGAGTAAAATCTGTATATTGGCCTGTGTAGAAAATATTTAGGGCATTACTTTCTTTGTAGAGGAAAAAGGTTAGTAATTACAACTCAAAAATACCTGAAAAGGAAGGGCAGGGAGGGGAAGGGATGGAAATCCATGTTGTACTGATGGGCATCAAAGAGTTTACGTGGGATGCCTCTCCAATGGTCCTGTTGCAGAATCTGCTTTTCATTTAGAAAAGCATCCGTTTTCTTTTTCTTTTTTTTTTTTTTTTAAATCTCTTTAAAAGCGGTACCAACTATGGCTCTTACATCCCCTCCCATCTGGTTTCCAAACAAAAACTCTTCTGTTAACTAGCTGTGAATGCTTGTGTTGAAGATTCCCCTTGTTGATAAAGGACACGTGGGGTCACGTGGGTTTGGGTCTAAAAGCAGTGACACCGGGCTGCTTGCTTTTCTTTCCTGAATGCCTTACGCATTAATGCCTGATCTTTCCATAACTAATTTCGTTGCTGAAATAAAACTAGGTAGAGAACCAGAATTCTCCCTGGGACTTCAGTAGCAGATGATCTTTTACGAGTATTCTTTGTCAGTCTTTATATCAGAGATCTTTTTTTTTGTTGCTGGAAGGTACAGGAGTGTTTGCCTTGTCAAAAGATGTCAAAAGAACCTGCAAAGTGGTAACTAGCAATTGCTTCTCCTTATCGTTATGTTCTCTTACATATAAAATTGATAAAATCTTATAAAATAAAAGAAATTTGTATATAACCTTAGAATAACCCTGGCAAATAGTGGACTGTAAGTAGAAAACCATTTCTCTATTCAGTGACTATGCAAGGGAATCCATTTTTGTTTCTCTGCCCCAGTGAGAAAATTTTGATGCTTTTAGGTAATGCGATGCCGCAGATGACATGTGAAGTGATAGATACCTCCTGTGCAGATTCTTGACTACTTTTGCTGCAAATGGTATCTACATAACACAACGGCTTTTGTTTTCCTTTTGTTAGGTAATTTCACAAGCAAAAGTGTGTGGAATCACCAATGAATCCGAGACAGTCAAAAGACTTCGCTTGGCTATTGCAAATAAAGATTTTACTTTCAAAGCAGGACAGTGGTAAGATCTTCTGATATTTGAGGGGAAAACTATTAGCAGAAGGCCAGTACAGTGAAGTGTTAAAAGTCTTCTGATACTTGAGCCTTGGAAAAAAAATGTTAATTTATATAATACAATGTTTTATTATTGGGTGCTCTGTCAAGTAGCTGATATTTGGCATAATTTTAAAATAGCCATTATTAAATATGCTACTGTTAATTCTAAAAGTGCAAAAATGGATATTCTTTAAATGTTCAGTTGGATCGTTTTGCTCTTTTCCTCTGGTTTATGTATATTACATTGTTTCTTCAAGAGTACTTTGAAGTACGTTGCACTTTATTCTGCAAGTTGTCTTTACTGTCTTTATTTACTAGTTGTTTTTACAGCAGAGCCAGGCCTGCTGATTTGCAAGTTTACTTAGTTTTGGTTTATAATTAAATTAGAATTGCCTAGTAACTTTTGTTTCTTCCCCTAGAAGTTTCCACTCTGAAAATTAAGCCTGTTAAGTCAGGTTAATATATAAATATAGATAGGCCAACTTGAAAATAAAAGCCCATAAATTATTAAGCCTTTGAAATAATTAGCTGTTTGTTTCAGCAACCTTACAGCTTTTTTATTTCCCAGGGAAATAGTAGACTTCCATGTTTATCTTCCTTGTTAAAAATATTCCCACTCAATCACTTTTTTTTTCTCTTAGAAATTAATTTAAACTATGAGTAGTTGCTTTTGGCATTAGACATTTAAATGTCCTATAACTTTTTATTGGCTTAGGCCATCTGAAAGTGGTTTTGCTGGAATCAAAGTATAGCTGCTAGGGTATTAACAGCATATGTTACTCATGTAGTGTTAATATGCTGGCTTTTAAATTTAGAACCAGAACACAAGATGTTGATTGCAATAATTTGTTTGTGGAGTAATTTGCTGCAGTTTTTGCACATGTGCAGTGACTCATATGAAATTCTTGCTTGCCAGTACTTGGAAAGTGCATTTACCCTCCAAAAATGTTTTACAAATTATCATGCTGAAAACTGAAAGCTTTAATTATAATTACTCTTTTTCATTTTCTTCTTCCTTGAAAGTGTTCTAATGCTATTGTAAGGTATACAACAACTTTTCTATACTTGTAGCCATAAACTGTGGTTTGTTTTTTTGATGAGCGGTACAAAACACCAGGGCACAATTTCCTGAGTAGAAAAGGCTAACTTGTTAGGATTTGCTATAGTAAGATGTTACAGCCAGAGACTGTCACTAAAATGTGTATATTTTTTTGAAAGTGTTCTAATTATCAAGTTTTTCAGAAGCAAAAGTGAATTTCTTTTGCAAGCATGCTGGCAGATATTGGGTCTTTGTCTGACTTCAGGTAATAACGAAGAGACTTGTTGCTGTTACCTCTTCTGATTTACTAAAGCATGCACTGAGGTATATGCATGTTAAAAATGCTTTGAAGAAGTAGCTTTATGGTTTTAATGTTTCTGATCTCTTCCTCCAGCGATTGCTAGTTGTTGTTCTTTTCCTAAAGATTTGGCTTAGGTAGCCTTTAAAAGGAGGGTGATGAAAAACCACCGTAAGATCTCTGTTTTGTATGGTTTTTGCTCTTCTCCTTGTTGTGGGTTTATGTAGGGTTGGGTTTTTAACCTACAGCTACTCTTTTTGCTTAAGCTGTCACAGGTAGCATTTCTTCAGGGACTCCTCTTACCCTTCTTACACACAGCTAAGATGAGAAATATAAGCTAGTATACTGTGCCCTGAAATCTCTCATAATTATGTAATTGGGAAAGCAATACTGATACAGAAAGAAACCTCTACCTACATTAGTACTTTAGAGGGATGAAAACCGCGTTTAATTTAGGTTTTACGCCAATGTTTGGTTTTGTACCTATGTATGTTTCCCCTCTAGGCACAAATAATGTTTTTCTTGTATGTCAGGCAGAACATTACTTTGACTTGAATGTAAATTGTTACTTTACAGCATAAATAGAATTTCTTTTTTTTTTTTTTTTTTCGTTAATGTAAGTAGTAAGATTATTTTCCACCAGAGGGTGGTAAAGAGCTTTAGTAGCATCTTGAGGTGTTCTTTGATACAAGAGTCGTCCTTTGTAATCTCTTATATCCTTACTGCCAGGAAAGCTGAGCCCCATGGTCAGTGAGGCTGCAGAAGCTGAGCACAGGGGAATAAACCTTCTCCACTTTATTTGGTGGTTGACCTTTCATTTCCAGTCAGATACCTTTTTTCACAATCGAGTTCATTAACATGAAGTTAAAAATTACATCGCTATAATACTGTGTATATCACACTGTGCATTTTTTGAGAGGAAGAGAGGATGTTTTTCTTCAAAGGGTGAAGCTTTGTGGGGAATAATTGAGCAAGATTTTTTTCTTTAAAAAGTGGTGAACTGTTCGAAGTGCTTCTCCCCTCCCTCAAGAATTAGTGATCTCTGTGAAGAATACAGCATTGCTGTTTAAAGAAAATACCTGTGCAGCGGAAGCCAGTCTGTATTTCTTGTTGCATTCTCATTTAACTAACACTGAGCCGGCCTAACTCAGGCTTGAGCTGAACAGTGCTTCTCTAGTACCTGGCAATGCTTGTTACCAGTGTGGTGGTTCCCTAAGTGGAGAGCACAATCAGTTTTAAACATTAGTTTTCTTTTGAAATACAGGGATTTTGTTAGGTGCTGTAGAAAATGGAAGTATTTAAGATTTATGCATCACAGAGGAGTTTAAATGTTAGATCATGAACCAACTTCTAACTTTTTCTGATAACTGTTTAGAATATCAAAGCCTTACTTGTATGAAAATGAATTACAGCTCACGTGTAGTAATGGGTTGCCTTCCACGCTCTCTGATTGCTGGTGTTGCAAAAGCTTAGCCATGTGTTACCTTCTAGTCTGTAGAAACCCACGTGTGGTTTACTTTAAAATATAAAATGTTTTCCAGTTCAGTTTCCTATGAACTGGAAAGAGAGATCTGCCACCGGAGGGCACTGCAGTGCAATGGGTGAAGCAATTCTACTCCGACTAACTGATTTTTCACATGAGGAATTTTTTACAGACTCTGGTTTTACTTCAGATACTTCATCTTCCCAAGACAAGAAAGTGTTTAATCTAAAGTAATTTTCCTAAATTAGTTTTCCATTCTTCTCGTGTTTGAAAATTCAAGAGCCCATCAAAGGGACCAAAAAGAGTGGGATTTAAGCCACTCTATCACACCATATTGTGGTTTTGGTTTAATACACACATAATTTTTTTCAACAATTAGAATCTCGCCTGTTGTAACATGTGGCATCTAATGCTAAAAGCAGAATGGTTTAAAACTCTGCTAATTTAACAAAGGTGATCACATGTTTCTAGATGAAAATAAGGAAATCGAGGTACTCAAGATTAAGTCCTTTTTTGGAAAAGTTATGTTATGGAAATGAAGATGACTCTGGTAAAGGAAGGATACTGAAACAAAGGCAGCCATTTTGTTTTGGGTATTTTCCATGTTTGGGGTTGTTGGCTTTTTTTAAACTTTTGTTTCTGGTCTGTTTTTAAGGGTTGATTTCTTTATTCCTGGAGTATCCGTAGTTGGGGGATTCTCAATATGTTCAAGTCCTGGCCTGTTGGAACGAGAAGGAATATTGGAGCTGGCAGTAAAGCACACTATTCATCCTCCTGCTCACTGGATTCACACTGAGGTAAAGGAGATTGTGAGATTTGTTTGGGGTTTTTTGGTTTGTTGTTTGCTTTTGGGTTTTTTTCTTCCCCTTTTTTGGGGGAGCAGAGGGGGTGGGGTGTGTGATTTCAGACCACTTTTTGCTATTGACTGCAAACCTCCTCTTGACTTGTTCAACCATTTTTAATGTAACATAAATTTAAAACGTTTTGTTCAGTAAGGGACTGAAATTGGGTGTTTATCTGGTAATATGGTTATTGTGATCTTTTGACTCTACTTGTGTTTGTTTGGTGGACTTGCAGTGATACCGCAGTTAGTGCATATAGGGGTTCCCACTCCTTTGGGATTAATGAAATGAAAAATGTTGAAAAACCTCTGTTCTAACTTGTGTCCCTGAGAACAGGCCGTGTTACACATTACAAAGTTGTATTTGATAACTTGCCATAATTTCTGGCCATTACTACAAATATAAATTGGGAGTCATTGTCAGAAAAATATAAATATAGATTATTAGGGGGAGCAAAGGGAGTTATTGAGGTCAGTTTTTCTGAAATGATGAAACAGAATACTTCAGAACTTCTATAGTATTCTTTTAAATATGCAATATTTTTGTAATATTGACATAAGCCAAGGCATGGTTTTTTGCTATATTAAAAGTAAAGTCGGACACCTTGGCCTCTTGCAGTGTTTTTGCTCATCCAATTACCCCATCTAGTTATAGTCAGAAGAGTCCGATTTCTGCTGCTGATCATATATCATGGAAGATCTGTCCTGTCAACTTTTGCTCTTTTCACAGCCCCCTGCGATCTGTCCTATTTACTGTTCTCTGCCTGGCATTTGTATTTCTTAAATGTGGCTGCAAAGTTTAAATGGACAGATTGTTCTAGACTTACAAATACTGCAGTTTTGTTCAGTGGCCAACAGAGTTACAGCGGAGATTGATGCAAACTACTAGAATTGAGAATATGCAAGGCGGTGCCAGTCTAGTCGTTAGCATGTGACCATCCGCAGTATTTTAATTGGTGTCATTTCAAGTTCTCTCCACTGGGACATAAACAAAATAACTCTCTTGAGATGTTGTGTACAACTTGCGGTGCATGTGCCAGCAGACCCCGGAATGCCTAAGGGATTGTCTGGCTTTTGGTATTGCTCTTCAGAGAATGCGAAGGCCTAACCTCATAATTCCCAGTCTCTGGAGACTCTCTTAGGATTTTTGATGTCGTAAATCAGTTTGCTGTTGCTGCGTTTTCTGGTTGAATGTATAGGAGAATCCTTAGTTAGCACGTGAGCTGGGTCAAACCTGCTGCTGTGGAGAAACCTTCAGGGTACATACGGACTCTTCTAGCTAAACAAAAATGCGTGCTTTTCCGTAGGAAAGAAGAAGAAGAAAAAAAAAGCGACCTAGCATTTGAAAAGGCTGTATATATGGTGAAAAAACTCTGGTACTTAAGAGTTTAAAAGTTACTTCTAAAGGAAGTTGATATCTCAGGGTAGAAGATGTTATGGGAGTAGTTAGCACTCATTTACTTGCTGTAGCCGCATATAAAATCATAAATTTTAGCAAAGTCTACTTGAGACCTTTAGGAAAATAGAGCCTTTCCTTTAGCAAAATGTACATGTAATGTATTGCTTCACTTCTCTGCCTAAGCTGTTTCAGTGCTGCCTTTACAAACTAAAGGACGCTTTCTCACCTTATTAATCCAGAATTTTATTGTTTTTTTTTCTTGAATACTGACTTACTGTTACCATTGCCATGGCTAAAGCTCTGAAATATGTGGGAGACTGCTGGTTAAGAGACATTCTTCCTGTGTCCTGTGTCCAGTCTTGATGAGCTATAGCTGGTTAAGGAGGCAGATTCGACCATAATGAGATGATTCTTTCTGCCTAGAAAAACTGATCTGCACAAAGGGTACCGTGTGCTGTGTCCTCCTCCTGCCACGTGAATCTGGAGCAGTTGTGGATTCACACATCTCCAAACCACGGTGGGAAAGCCTGGCAGTGAGCATCGAAAAGGGGGAGAGAAATGGGTTTCAGATAACGAACGCTGATTGTCTTGCACTGTAATTGAGAGATGGTACTTCATGCGATAATTAAGGAAGGCAAGAAACTTTTCTTGGCCATGCTCACTGCTTTAGGAACTCTGTGTCCTGTGCAGTACCTGTGTCCAAGGGCCGCCTCCTTCCTCCTGGTGGAGTTGTTACATGCCTAGTCCTTTGCTTACTACACAGCTGTCGTTAATGGAAATCCTTTTGTTTCCATTACTGTCTCCTGATATCGAAAGGATTTTTTGGAGGAAGTGTTTTTATTCTGTAAGTGATAAAACCTGCTCATTTTTCAGCAGTTCTCGTGGCTTTGCTTTTTTTTCCTCTCCTCCTTTCCCACCTTCCTTGGTTTCCCTAGCCTTTTAATTTTTTAAACCCTAGATATGGCCTGAAACGAGTTCTGCTTTTGGCTCGTGTTTGTTCTGTTGGCTTGCAGTGGTGCGGGAGAGCGCACCCGACTTCTCTGTACTGCGGTTTCGCCTGTCATACAGAATGCAGTGCTGGTTTACCAAGAAGATACCAACCCAAATAGTTTTTTTTTGTTGTAGCTCTAGTTTTCCATGTATCAAAAAACATGCTTTGGCAAATTCCTCTAAGAAATAACTTCTGTGTACAAGTGGAGAGGAAGAGAGAAGGTTTTTCCCTGATCTTTTTTTTTTTTTTCCTTCCCCCTGCAGCTCTGAAGTTGCAAATGCAGAAGTGGTTCCACAAGAAATACTCTTGTAGACACTTGCTTCACTTCTGGGTGTGTTTTTATTTTTTAGGAATGGGGATGGAAAACCCTTTGTGTCTATGCAACTTGTCCTGACTTCCTTCTCTGACCTCATAGTGAGGCCGCCTTTGACATGAGACTAGGTTTGGGGAAAAAGTGTGATCTCACATGTTGACCTCGGGTTTTGTCAACCACATACTGAAAACTCTTGCATGAATCATTCGTGTTGCAACTCTTGTGGGGGCGGGAAGGGGGAGTCACCATCCTGCCTTACCAGAAGACTGAAACTTCTGAAAGTAGTAGTAGATCCCTAGAGGCACTGAAACAGATCACTGCAGATAGCTGGAAACTCTTGAGTTTATTTTAAAGTACTTCTGCTTTCCCTCGCTGGTCAATAAAAATAAAAAATCACAGCCCAGCAAGTCTTGTGACTGTGGTGCAAGAAGAATAACATTTCAGCTTTTGCTTTTAGTTTCAAAATTGAGTTATCTTTTTTTCCATCCTAGTGTACTCTTGACTCAGAAGTGGCTCTGCGAGTGGGAGGTGATTTCTTCTTTGATCCTCAGCCTGGTGACTCCCCTGTAAAACTAGTGCTGATAGCAGGGGGTGTTGGAATTAACCCATTGTTTTCTATGCTGCTGCATGTAGCAGATCTTCATGGATACCAAGAGAGTAAAGGAAATGGATACAAAATGGGAACAGTGAAGCTGTACTACAGTGCAAAAAATACAAGCGAACTCTTATTTAAGGTAAATAAAAAGTTTTTTTAAAAAACAGATCTCTATCTGAATATCTGTTCAGCTGTTAGTGTGTGTGTATCACTCTGTTGCCAAATTCCAGAGAGCTCCTCTGTGTAAGGCACTGTACTGAACCAGAATCAGAGAGAAGTCGCTTCCTGCCTCAAATCCCATGTGTGTTTGTTAATTACTTATGCCAGTGTACAAATTAAGGCTCTTGCTGGACATACCTGGTCTCATTGACTTCACTGGTAAGTCAATCAGCCCTAAATGTCTGCATTTTACTATAATCTCCTAAGAGCGTCATAGGATGCTAAGGATGACAAACACGATAATATGGCTGTGTAGATGCATCATGCTGTGTGCTGTAATACTGTAACCACCTCGTCTCGGTACAGATGGTGTGGAATTTAAAGACTGGCAAGAGCAATTCTCTCCAAAGGAAATACTTTCTAAATAATAGGGGACTTTTTTATTGATAATGCATTAGTTGTTGTTGGGTGCTGGCGTATGAATGAAGGTTCTAGGGCCACTTGAAAATTGCTCGTATAGAACTTCATCAACATTTAGGCAGCAGGTCAAGATCAGTTGTCACACTCAGCCATTAACGGTCACTGGTAGCATTTTATCAAATTAGCACAGCTTCTGTAAAGCAGCATCCCTAATGATTTAGGTTTCTTTGAAGTATTGACAGCTTCTGATTGCAAGATGAAGGTGAAAATCTATCGTGAGTCCAGAAGTTATAGGATATGTCTATAGGATCCATCACTAGTTTTTCTGTACTTCTACCATATTTCCAGATAGGAAGATGTTTGCTTTCTTTGAAAAGTTGTTTGTTTGTTGCTGGAAGCAGAATAATAAACCAGAACCTGCCTACTCTTCCATTTGGCCAGTTGCGAATCTCCCAGTCTGTTCTAAGCACATGATTTTTTTCAATGCAAGAGCTACCGTGTCCTGACTTCCACTTCAGCAGCGTTATGACAGCAGAGCTTTTGCGTTAGAGCCTCTGGGACAAGGACACATCGCAGTGCTTAAAATACATCCTTCCCTTCCTTCGTCACGTGTCCCTCGGGTCCAGAACATGTCCATGAAAATCCTTTACCTCTGTGCAGAGGGGTGAGGAGATGGGATCACTAGAGCCTTTATGCTGGGGTGAGGTGCTGCTGCACACGTGTCCGTAGGAACTGCTAGGTTGTTGCTAGCAGTTTGGAGGGCCTGTTCCCTGAAGCAGCAGCTGCTGACAGGGACAGTGAGTCACCTTGATGCAATTGGTCTGATAGGTGTTTGGGATGAGCTGTGGGTTCGCAGGCAGACACACTGCTTTTGGCAATCCCGTTACTCAAATGGGTAGAAGCACAGGCTGTTCAAGTCCCAAAAGCCAGTGTGCTGCCTTTGCTGCATCACGCTGCCACGTAGCTGGGTTTTCCCCGCTTCATGAGGACTGAACGTGACCCTTATTGCTGTCTTGTGGCTGGGACACGGGGGCTGGGTCTCCTCCCTGAGGTCTGTATTGCTCAGCTGCCTGCTTCATTTTGTACAGGAACTCACTAGGCTGCAACGAGCCTGCTGAGCTGTTGAATTTCTCCTTCGTTCAGTTAGAGAAAGCCTGTCTTTTGCCTAAGGATACCAGAAAATAGTTCTTGGGTGGTTGATGTCACGTGTATGATATTTGCCACTTTCTGTCCGTGTCACTGAATTACAGAGTGACAGGCGACAAGTAGGAGTTGTGAATGACCGCAGGAGTATTTAAGCAGGCGAAGTCCTACCTTAGGTGTGCATCCTTCAGCTCAACAGGACATGGCTGGCTTCAAACGCGCAATCAGGTTGTACATGGCTCCGTGTGAAGGGGCCGGAGTTGAGAGCCACATCCAGAGCAGTGAAGCAGGCCAGCGCCAGAGGTCCGAGTGGAGCCGCGTACCACTGTGGCTGGCTGTGCTGCTCGTCATTCCAGGGCTTTTTAGGGAATCAGAAACTGATTTGTCTGTGAAATAGAACCTGTCTGGGGTTTTTTAAGCAACCCATGGCAGACTGTTCAGCGTAGTAACTAGTTAGCAAGCAAACACGTAACAAAACAAGCTCACTTACCTACTCACAGAGTAGAAATTATTTTTAATTTTTATTTCAGAGTATTCTAAGACTTTCCAGTGGCCGTTCCAGCAGTGAAAATCCCAAATAATGCAGAGTCCAGACAGTAACTAACTCTTAGTTTCCGAACTAACTAACTACAGCATCTGACACTGACAGATTTTGGGTTTTTTTAACTGTCATTTGAACTGCAGCCACTGGGGTTTGGTGGTAAAAATCACAGCTGTGACTTACAGAACTGAAAGTTTCTTTGCTACTCTGGTAGAAGTACCATTAGCATTACACTGTAGTTGGTTTTATTTGGAGAGCATGGGAGAGTAAGGGTCTAGTAATCGTACCAGACCAAGCAGACGAGACTCAAAGTTCCTAACAAATGGTAAATACATTCTGCAGGGGTTTTTAAATGGAAAACCCCTAGGGAAGTGGAAGGAGGAAATGGCAAGCATTTATACAGGGAAGAAAGGACATAACTGGTTCTTAGGTTGAAACCTTGCAAATGGCCACCGACTGTAAAAGCGGAGAAGAGCACCAAGGGCACAGCCGGCAGCGCGCACGCGCTCAGGCACGGACGCTCTGTGCGCGCGCAGGTCAGCCCGGGGAGGTCAGGCCCACCAAGTTCTCGGCGCTAAAATGCAAGTTTTGGTACTTGGTAATTCTCACCAGCGTGCGGGGCCTGGTGGGCGCATCTGCTCTGATGTCATGGCCTGCGGTGTAAGCCAGTGTGTTTAACGTTACAGAGGAGCCTTCTTGGTTTGATGGGTGCCTTTCCTGGAAAGATCACGTGTCGCTTCCACGTTACCCAACAGCGGTCACAGATCTGTGAAGAACTTCAGCCACATGTTACAGGTAAATACAACAGCAATGCACAGAGGTGGTATCTAAAGTCTACGCTGGATTACACTCTAGAGGATGAAGTTATATGCAGAACTTAGTCTTTTTACATTTAAAGACTCAAAAGGAGATGAGTTAAACCTAAAGAATTTCCCTGCACATATTATGCTTTGGAAAAAAAAATTTCCCTTTGCAGTTTTTGTTTTCATTTCTAGTAAAGCTCTGTTAATTCTAAACTTTATACTGGTGTTTCCCACTGCAAACTTTATTCCAGAAACTGTTAAGCAAAGTATTTACTTTGCTTAAGGTGGGACTGATGAAGGGTAAGCAGACTGCTTGTTTGAGAGAGATCATGTTCCCATTTCTGTTGTATTTGAGATACAACTAAAAATACCACGTTCAGATGAAAAAACCAGGTACGTAAGCCATGTTCCTCTTCAGTGGCTACTATCCTGTGCATTCCTACTGGAATTACAGATCTAAATCCCCAGAAGAGCAAATGGTTTTGGAAGCCTCAAATCTTGGTACCTATTATAATTAACCAGGCCTGGCATTTTTAAGAAATGAGTGCTTGAAATACTCTAACCAATCATTCTTTTTGAAATTGTTTCATGAGTTAATATTTCTGTTCTCATGTCGTACTTTTTTCTTTGTCAGAGGGAAGAATATCTGAAAAGGATCTAGAAAAACATGTATCTAAGGATACGTTATGGTACATCTGCGGTCCACCTCCAATGATAGAGTCTATATCCAAACTACTGTCTAACATTGGTGTTCCTAGAAACTGTGTTTTCTTTGAGAAATGGTGGTAGTGGCACCTGCCGAACAGAAAATGTATTATTTGTTTCCAGTGTATTTTGATAAGCTAAAATGTACAGAAACAGACTATGAATTATTTGGAAGATTTTATTTCATACATGAAGATGTCCTCAGTTGTGATGGTGTTCTTTAATTTAATTATAACAGACCTGTAATCTAGTGCTGCTGCTTTTTTTGGGGGGAAGAAGTGATTTTATATTAAAGACATTAACTGTTCTGGTTTTTTTGATGGTTTGCTTACTTATGGGTAACAGCAGGTTTTCACTTCATACACATGTTTTGTTAGTCAGCTTTTAAGACTTTCAGTGCCTGATTCAGCAATTGTACAGAATTAGTTGTGCAGCAATGCCAGGTCAGTTCATAATAAATAATAATTCAGGCCACAACTTCTGCATCTGCTCTAAATTATTGTACTAATGAGTCAACACTGCCTTCCCCAGTTCTATATAAATTAATATTTTTATAAAGTAGAGTTGCTGTGTTATGACTTCCTTCTCTTGCCCCTTTAAAAGAAAAAAACCCCACACTTTAAGTCAGTCAACTGTATTGACAGTAAAAGACGTGTTTTCAGAACCGTGTTCAGACATGAGTTAAAAGTATTCAGTGTAAAAGTGTTAAGAATCCGTTCCCCCCTGCCAGGGCTGTACCCAGTGACTCGGGCACGGAGGCAGCCCATCCAGCTTGTGCTTGCCCCTGCCACGTCCTCGAAAGCAGCTGGGGCCCGCACCAGCCAGGCTCCCTGCTCCTGCTGCACAACCTCCCCCTTCTGTTTGGAAAGCAGCCTCTGGGAAGTTTGCTCTCAAGGTACAAGTGTACCTCCAGGGTAATGGTGGACACCTCAGCCCTTCCAGAATGAGGCTTCTTCCCCCTGCTTGCCAAAAAACTCATCATAGAAATGATGAGACTAACAAAAAGCCATAAAGAGTTTCTTAGTTATCACTACAGAGAGTTCAAGTCTTGAAGTGGTAGAGATTCCTATTGTACATTTAAAGAACACTTAAATTCTTAAAAATACCAAATTATTATTGAATTATTGAAAATGTTTAACAGGTAAGGCCTTCTCTTTGTTAGTGGCTCTTGAGTTAAATGTTTCAGACAATAGTGAAATAGGTATTGCAGTGAGTTTCTTGCTATCAGCATCTCTCTGCTCTGCCTTAAAGAGGGGTTGCAGATACTGATCCCATCACCCAATTTCCAGCTGGTGACAGCACTGTTGGGGTGAAGCACTTCATTTTGCAAGGCTTACATCCCAGCACTGGGCTAAAAAGGCCTCCAGCCCAGCTGTAGTGCTCTCCCAAGAAACCATTTCAGCGTCAGGAGGCTGAGTTTAGCCTCTGGTCTTAACCTCTTTTTGTCAGGTTCTCTGAGCCATTTTACAGCTTGTAGGATACCTACTGCCACAGCCAGTTCATCTTCAAAAGCCAGCACGCCAGCCTACCCCTGGTTTGGGTGCAGCACGAGGCTGCTGCTCTGCTTGTTGCAGAACTACAGTGGATTGAACAACTGAAACAAGCCCAGCGCTTTCTGAGCGTCCAAGAGGAAAACCCACACTTACTGCAGCTCAGAACCAACAGAACTTATTTTCAAGAAACAGGCTCTATTTTCGGTCAGGAAGAGGTGACTCTGAATGATGGACCTTAAAGAGTTGCGTTTTGGGGACAGTACCACGATGAGGCTCTGCCAGTAAGTTTTCATCTTCTGCTACCTGCAGCCTCACTCACTTCGCTTTGTGCCTCCATACCACGCAGCACTACACGCCTGCTGACATTACTTGCCCCCTCAGCAGTCACTGCAGACCCAGAGGGGATGTCTCATCAAATTCCCTCCTACTCAAATGAGAGGAAGATTCTTTCTGAGTACCCCTATTTTAAGGAATGGTTCCTTGTTTGTTCACTCTGGAATGTAAATAGGGCAGCGTGCTTGTCACAAAAAATAAAACCAAGGGGGTTTTGTGTTCACAAAGATCACAACTGACATGTTGGAGCTTGATGCTTGAAGGAAGCAGAGTTTTTTTTTCCTGGAAACGTGCAATACATTGCTGTCGGGAGGTACTGATGCCCTGAAATAAAACCCATGCATTAAGCTCCTGCATGTTTTAACAGTGTAATGATAAAAAGATTCTGAGAAGCCTTTAAATGTTGTTTTTCTTATGACTTTTAAATCATTAAGTGGATTATAAACTGTTTTACCCTCTTTTTCCCTTAATGCACAGGCTTTCTTCAGCCCAAATGACTTCTTGTTCACAAACCACTCCTCAGACTTGCAGCAAAATGTCCATTTAACAAAAAGTATTTCAAAACCCTTTGCTTCTGTAATCATCCTCTTTTTCCCTCTAACCTCTTTCTGTCATTCCCTGTTATACTCAGGTTGAGCACTGTGGGGCAAGGACACATCTCATAGCTATATGGGCTCACCCGCTTGAAGACCAGTATTAAACGCACATGCACGCACACACTCTGCACCAAAAGATGGAGGAGAAAGGAAAAATTCTTGCCTCCCCATCCCCAAATACAAGCAACCTCTGTTACTGTTAGCGAGAAGTTCGCTCTTACCTTGAGCAGTGACCCCGCCAAAGGGCGCACAACACCTTCATGCCACAATGCACGTAACAGTAATAAATGCCATTTCTAAGCCAAGAAGCCAGGAGAGTTGTTAACATCCCCTCCCTCTGTAGCCTTTTGGGAGCTTCTTCTTGCTAGAGCTTAGTGGTCTTGTAGCAAAACATCAGCTTCACCTTAAAGTCTATTATTGGATCTGACTCCACCATAATGGACAAGGAAAAAAAACCCAGGAAAATTAACATATATACACATCCGCTCTACAAATAAATGAATGGGATATTAGCCCACACTGGCAGGAACAGAGAGCAACCCCTGCTGTTCAGCAGCCACGGAGCTGGAGAAATACTCACATCATCGACTTGTAACATGTAAGCTTAGAAAATGTTTATTCCTCTTACATTTGTGTCATCAGCTAAGGAGTGACTTGAGAAAAGGCAGACTCATATTTTCTTCTTTCCCCCC